CTAGGGACATCATTCCCAATATCAGATGAATCTTGGTAAAAAGCAGAGTACCAGAGGAATGTTGATGTTTCATTGACAATGCAAAAGTGTTTGTTTGGATTACAACAAATTGTGGCTAACCTTCAGAAGAATGTGAATTCCAGAACACCTGATTATGCTCATGCAAAACCTAGAAACCTTGGACCAGGAAACAGTAGTCAGAACAGAGCAAGGAAACACTGCATGGTTCAAAATCAGAAAAGGAGTGTGTCAGGGATGTGTGCTGTCTCCAAACCTTTTCAATCTGTATGCAGAATAGATCATTCAGAAGGCTGGGCATTATAAGGAGGAATGTGGCATCAGGATTGGAGGAACTCATCAATAACCTGTGTTATGCAGATGACACAACATTACTTGCTGAAACTGTGGACGACCTGAAGCATTTGGTGCAGAGGGTCAAAGACTATAGTCTTTGTGTGCAATATGGACTGAAGCATAAGAAAACCAAGATTTTGACCACTAGGCCAATTGGCAGCATCATGATTGATGGAGAAGAGATTGAGATTGTTAACCATTTCAGCTTGCTTGGTTCCACAATAAACAACTTTGGCACCAGCAGTCAGGGAATTTACAAAAAAAAAAGGCATTAGGAAAATCTGCTGTGAGAGATGTCTCCAGAGTCTTCTAGCTGAAGAGCAAGGATAACAGTCTAGAAACTAAGATGATCTTGATCCAGGCCAAGGTCTTCTCAATTGCTTGCTATTCATCAGAGAGCTGAACAACAACAAAGGATCAAAGAAGAATTGATGTCTTTGAGTTGTGGTGTTGGAGAAGAGTATTGAACATGCCAAGGACAGCCAAGAGAACTAACTTGTAAGTACTGGAGAGAGTGAAACCAAGGTTGGACACAAAGTTGAGATCCCATCTCACATACTTTAAGCATGTAGCCAAGAGGGACCAGTCTTTGGAGAAGGATATCATGCTTAGAAGGGTCGAGGAACCATGCTGGAGAAGAAGACCTCAGATGAGATGGATTGACATAGTATCTGGGGTAATTAGGGTAGGTGTGTCAGAAACAGTGAGACTAGTTCAGAATACAGCAGGGTTCAACGTTATTGTGCATAGGGTTTCTGTGAGTCTTAGTTGACTCAACTACACACAACAACAGCAACAATGTTCAAATTAAAATTTAAAATAGTCCATTTAAAATATGGACTCCTATTTTAAAATTTAGAATAGGAGTTAAATATGAACTTGAATTTGTTCCACCTGTGTTTTAAAAATCATCTCAAGAATAGAATTGATGTACTGAACACTAATGATCCAAGACTTAACAAGCTGTGAGATGATATCAAAGACATCATTCAGGAAGGAAGCAAAAAGTCACTAAAAATTAGGAAAAAAGAAAAGACCAAGATGGAAGTCAGAGGAGACTCTAGAATTTGCTTTTCAATATAAAGAGGCAAATGTAAATAAGAAATTAGAGAGATGAACAGGGTAACTCTAGAAGAGAAATTATTTTAATGAAATATGCAAAGACTTGAATTTTAAAAATGAAAAGGAAGGAATATGCCTGGCATGTCTCATGCTGAAAGAATTGAAAAACAAGTTTAAGTCTCAACTTGCAATACTGAGAGATTCTATGGGGAAAATATTGACTGATGCAGAAGGCATCAAAAGGAGATAGAAGTCACTGAGTGGCTGTATCAAAAAGAATAGGTCAACATTAAGTCATTTCTTTAAGTAGTATGTGATCAAGAAGCGAAATTACTGAAAAACTTTCAAGCTACCCTGAAGACATTGGCAAAAACCAAGGCTACAGGAATCAACGGAATATCAGTTGAGGAGCTCTAGGGAACAGATGCATCCCTAAATGGGATCACTAGTGTATTCTAAGACATTAGAAAAATAAGGAAAATAAGGTCTTTTTAGTTAGCAAAGACCCTTTTTGGGTAAGGACCTCTTGAGGGAGACTCTTTTACAAGTGGAAAATACCACCTATATCACTGAAATCCCTAAGAATTAGAGGGGAAAATATAATATTACAGAAAGTATTCATTTTCAATATGGATTGAAGCTCAACACCAAGAAGACAAAGATTCACACCACTGGGCCAATTGGCAGCACTGTGATAGATGGAGAAGAGATAGAAGTAGTTAACAGTAACAACTTACTCTGCTCCACAATCAACACACTTAACACTAGCAGTCAGGAAATCAAAAGATGAATTGCATTGGGAAAATCTGCTGTCAGGGACCTCTCCAGAGTACAGAGAAGCAACGATGTCAGTCTAGAGAATAATGAGTGCCTTAGCCAGGCCATGGACCTCACAATTACTTGCTATGCATCAGAGAGCTAGACAATGACTACTAAAGATGACAGAAGAAATATCGATGCCTTCAGATTGTGGTGCTGGAGAAGAGTCTTGAACATACCATAGACTGCCAAGAAAACAAATAGGTCTGTCTTGGAGAGGGTAAAACCAAGTTTCTCCTTGGAGGCTAGGATTTTGAAGCTCTGTCTCACATACTTTGGGCACATGGCCAAGAGAGAACAGTCCTTGGAGAAGGACATCATGCTTGGAAGGGTGAAGGGACAGCATAGGGAGAAGACCTCAAATGAGATGGATTGATACAGTAACCGGGACAATGGAGGTTGGTGTGTCAGAATTAGTGACACTGACTCAAGACAGGGCAGGGTTTTCAGAGCTGCTGTATATGGGGGTCATTATGGGTTGCAGGCAATTTGACAGCAGATAGCAATGACAACATTCGTTTTCTAGGAATGCTTAGTTAAAGTTTCACAACTGTATATATAGCGTAACGACTCGCAGTTTTATTCTCTCACATTCCTGGTAGCTTTAAGTCTGAAATACAGATTTAGGCAAGATTATTTTTTTCTGGAAAGCTCTAACTGAGAGTCTGTTGAATGTTTCACTACTATCTTTTGGTAATTTTCTGCAATCCTTGGCTCCTGAGTCTCTCTGTATCATCATAGGGTACTTTCCTTCGGTGTTTGTATTAGGAGAACACCAATCATGAGATTGAACGCCCCATCACTTTAGTCTGATCTTCACTAAATACCTATGCACTGAACCTTACACAACAGATTCTATGGTGTTATTCTGAGGAGGAAAAAAATTTGAGGAAGACACTACGTACTTTATTGAAATGCCTTGTACTTGGGAACCCTAGCTTTGACATTTCTCTCTTTATGTCTCTAGAAACTTTGTTTTCATGGATTGCAGAAATTCACAAAGTATTTTGTTGTTTTGTGGTTGAATTTCATTGTTGTTCTTGTTGTCATCGTCTTTAGGCTAGAAAATCACTTTGTAGAAAAACGCTTTCCTCTTTATTGTTGAACCCCCTGCACTTTGACCCACGTATAACCCTGTCTGACTCTTGGAGACATTAAAGTTCATGATATGGACTTCTTTGTGCATGAAGTCACTTAGTTGGCAAACTGAATTTACCCTCGAGTAATAGAGCTTCAAGGATTTGCAGGTCCTTCCTCTCCTCCTGCTTAGCAGGATGGGAAGGGGATTTCCATGCCTGTCAGGAACCTCGTCCAGTGGGGAATATAATTCAGTCTCATGTTTTTGCCTTTCAGGAAAACGCGTTTGCATTGGAGAACAGCTGGCCAGAGCTGAGTTGTTTATCTTCTTCACTTCCCTTGTACAAAGATTTACCTTTAGGCCCCCAGCCAATGAGAAGCTGACTCAGAAGGTTAGAATAGCCATCCCCCTCTCTCCTGCCAGTTACCGCATCTGTGCTATTCCTCGAGCCTGATGCTGCTGGGGAAAAGAAAGAGAACCATGGAATATGTCCTGGAGACAACAGTGCCTGCTCAGAAGTGAGGGATCAGACAGAAATGCCTTTGAGGAAAGACGATAGGAATTGAACTGAAGAAATGGAATCCAAATCCCAGCTCTGCTGTCTCCTGTGATGTAGTATATGAGGCTGTCATTCACAATCTAAATAATGTCTTTTAATCAAGGAGATGAAAAGTAGATAATCATACCCTTCCTAAAGAAAGTTGCTGTAAGAATCAAAAGAAATAATAAATGCAAAGAGATTTTTAAATCATAAAAATGCTTTATCAAGTTACAGATATGATATTGCCTTCTCCTTCTTTATATAAATATGACTAAATTATCTATTCATTTAGCTCAGTTCAGTTAAATGGTGTAAGATGATTGTGAACACCTTGAATTTGGGCCCTTGGATGACCTCAGGCTCTACCATTCAAAAGCACTTGTGTATTTTGGAGTCTCCGGGTGGCGTAGATGGCTAATACATTTGTCTCCTTATGCAAAGGAAGGTCTGATGGCCTAGTGCTAAGAAGCAGTGCTGCAATCTGTAGGGCACATGGTTCAAATCCACCAGCTGCTCCTCGGCTGAAGGAGAGCTCATCTCCTCTTTTATTAACTGCCTCTGGAATCCCACTGGAAGGTCAGTTTCGACTTGATGGTACACAATAACGACAAAAACAATAAACTTATAAAAAGTTAGAGGTTCAAGGTACCAGTCCACCCAGGAACACTTCAAAAATCCAGTGAAAAACTCAGCTATTAAAACTCCCATGAAACACATTTCTGCTCTCACACATGAAATCAATTTGTGTTAGAATTAACTTGGCAAGTTTTAATGGACTTCAGTTTTAGATGTGTGCTTAATCTCATCTGATCCGCAGGAGGATCATTGGTGGAAGATAGTTGGTGAAGTCAACAAGGCAGATATTTATTACTGATGATTTACAGTGTTTAATTAGCTAGAGTTGTTGCTTTTGTGTACCACAGAGTCGGAACTGACCCATTCCTGACCCTCTGGCGGCCTTTAATAATTTCCACTGAAGGAGAGAAGGTTAGCATTCTCGCATTTGACACATCAGTGTCACAGTGTTCAGCTTCACAGCAACCACAAGTTACCACTGTACAGCAAGTGGACAGACCAGGGCTATAAGGCCTAGAAGAATGTTTGACCAAAAACAATTAAAAACAGGCCTGAGGGCTGCAGATTTAAGTCACCTAACTTTGTCTTGGTAGCATTACTTACTGTCCAGGAGGCCAACTAATCTCTATGTTGTTTTTGTTGTTAAGCGCCCAATTAAAACAAGCTTGGAAGCAGGAGTGGCATCCACTTCTGTAATAGCTTGCCTCCGGAAACCCTATGAACCTGGAGAAAGGATAAAAGTCACACAAGTGTTGAGGACTTACGTTCATAGGGTCGCTATGAGTCGCCTACAACTTGAGGGCACTTAACAACAATGACAGGAGAGAAGTGGGAAGAGAACCCCATCCCAAACACATTCGTAGCCGGACCTGTTAGAGCTTCGTGCAACACCTTTTCTACTAGGCCAACAGAGCTTCCTGTTCCTGATCGTGCACCTGAAAAGAGATAGTCTCAGGGTCAGGTGCAACATCTACTGGTTATCCAGTTCCTGGTGAATGCCCTGCTCCATCCAAATGTCGTCTGTTGTTGAGTCCAGTGGAGTACTACTCACAGTGACCCTGAACCCTGTCCTATCCTGTGCCATTATCATCAACTCTGACTCATGTCGGCAATAGGGACAATGAAGGGGGGCGGGGGGAGGTAGGAAAGGATAAAGGTTGATGCCAAATCATTGGGACAAGAAGAAATTATCTCCTCCTCTATACTTTGAGTCCTGAGTTGTTTCTGACTCAGTGGCAAGAGTGAAACAGGGAAAGAAAAAAAAAAAAGAGGTTTCAATTTGGGCCAATTGGGAGGAGAATGGCCTGGCGAATTGCAGAAGGTGGGGGTGAGTTTGAGGAGGAAGTGAGGGCGGGAAAACCACACAGAGAGTGTCAGGGAGGGACAGACTTATCAGTGGCGCTGGGAACCAGGAACAGGGATTTTAAAAGGCTCAGAAAACAGAGGAGCGAGCAGACAGGCTTCCAGCCATGCTGGCCGCGCTGGGCTCCCTGGCTTCTGCCCTCTGGGCAGGGCTCCATCTCCGGACTCTCCTGCTGGGTGCTTTCTTCTTTCTGTTCTTTGTTGATTTCCTCAAAAGCCGGCGTCCAAAAAACTATCCTCCAAGGCCTCCAAGGCTGCCTTTCTTAGGCAACTTCTTTCAACTGGATATTCAACAGCCACATGAGACCCTCCAGAAGGTAAGAGCTGGCCAAGTTCCTGGTGCTGATTCAGACCCACAGGGCAAGGGCTATTTCAGGGAACCAGGGTAACAGAAGGAACCCTGGTGGCGCAGTGCTTAACTACTCAGTTTAAGGGTTGCTAAACCACAAACAGATTCATCCTGGAGAGGGATAAACCTGGCTACTCCTTGGAGGCAAGGATTCTGGGGCTTCGTCTGACATACTTTGGACATGTTGTAAGAAGGGACAGGTCCTTGGACAGGGACATCATGCTTGGGAGGGTGGAGGGACAGCACAGGAGGGGAAGACCCTCTATGAGGTGGATTGATTCAGTGACTGGGGTAATCGGGATGGGTGTGTCAGAGGCAGTGCGATTGGCACAGGATAGAGCAGGGTTTAGGGCTGTTGTACACAGACAGGGTCCCTATGAGTTGCAAACGACTTGATGGCACATAACAACAACAACAACAAACCACAGGTGGTTTGAAATCCTACCAGTGACTCTGCAGAAGAAAATATATGCAGCAATCTACTACTGTAAAGATTCAGCTTTGGGAAATCTGAGGGATGGTACTAATCTGCTTTGAAGATGAGGTTACTATGAATGGGAATCTACAGCAGGTTTCAGGGTTTTTTTGGTTTGGATGATTCTCATGGTAATTCTGGTAATCTGCATAAACACCACTTTGAGCCAGTTTGCAACTTGCAAGACTGTATTTGCTATTTATAAAAAAGGAGAAATAGCATTAAATGTTTCGTTTGTGCTAATTATATCATTAATCTTGTGGGTAGGCTTTCTGTTCTTTAACTCACTGAAATATGTATTGTTAAATACTGCAGCTCCTTAACTGTAATATGATTGCCTGATCATTAGCATTAATTAATATCCTTGACAAGTACTCTACTGTCCCTAGACTCTGCATTTCCTACGTATAAAATGATGATTGTACTGAGAGTACTGCTCCTTCTCACAACTTTCCAAATGCAAGCTTGTCAGCAGCAGCACGCTAAAAGAGCCCGTATTTGTCTGCTTCCCTCTTTCCTGAAAGTCCTCTCACTAAAATAATAATCTAAAAATAGAATGAACTTGTGTAAATTGTCTAGGCCTCCCGGAGTCCAAACTCCACCTCCAGGCATCTTGACTCATCGTTCTCCTCCTCCTGTTTGTCCCTCCATCAGCTCTTACTAATTCTGGCTGTTCTGAATTACTTAATATTCCCTTAAAGATAATTCAGTCTGGAACATCCTCAGCAGAGTGACTTGTGTAACAGACACTATAATAGGTGATTATGAAGATTAGGTAAAAAAGTTAATGATTAACATTAATATAGTACTTTCTCTTTAATGACCAAAGTCCTATAAAGACATCTCTAGTACTCGAGTACTCGAGTACACATTGTCTCTGAGTTGGAACTAAATCATCTTACCTGACCCTCCAGGAGGTTTTAAGTGGCTGCAAATTACTGACTGCCTTTGAGTTAGTAGGACAACTCCTTACCCCCTAAGCCGTAAGAGCTCCCTACTTAAGTAAAATGTTATCTCTCTACGTTGTTATTGTTGTTGAGTTCAACTCATAGTGGCCCTACGAACAATAAATCTGTCCTATCTTGTGCCTTCATCACACTTTCTGACCCACTAGAGCCCGTTGTGACAGTCACACCTGGTGATTGTGTCAATCCACTTGATTGAAGGTCTTCCTTTTCTTTGCGGACCCTCCACCCTTCCAAACATCATGTCCGTCTCCAAGGAATAGTGCCTGTTAGCAGCATGCCCTAAGTATGTGAGGTGAAGACTCATCACCCTTGCCTCTAAAGAACACTCTTGCTGCACCCTCTCTAAGACATATGTTTGTTCTCTTGTCCATCCATGGGATGTTCATTGCTCTCCTGCAACACCACAGCACAAAGGCCTCAATTCTTCTGTCATCCCTGTTCATTGTCCAGCTCTCAGATGCAAAGCAAGTGATCAGAATGATCACTTTATGACCTGAATCAAAGACACCTATAATTCAAATTACATTCCTACATTTGAGCCAAAGAGGAAGAAATTGAGCATTTTTACCAAACTGCAGTCTAAAATTGACCAAACATGCAATCAAGATATGCTAGTGATAGCTGGTGAATAGAATGCAAAAACTGGAAACGGTGAAATAGAAATAATAGTTGGAAAATATGGGCTTGGTGATAGAAATGAGGCTAGAAATAGAGTGATCAAATTTTTATTTTCAATGACTTGTTGCTGTTGCTGTTGTTGTTATGTGCCACCTGCGACTCATAGTGACCCCATGCACATCAGCCCTACACCGTGCCAACCTTATTGTCTCTAACACGCCTACTCCCATTACCCCAGTCACTGAATCAATCCATATCATCTCTTGCGCTGTCCCTCTACCCTCCCAAGCATGACGTCCCTCTCCAAGGACTGGTACAGACTTGAAACATGTCCGAAGTATGTCAGGTGAAGCTTCAGAATCCTTACTTCCAAGGAGCAGTCCTCTCCAGGATGAACTTGTTTGTTCTCCTAGCAGTCCATGGTATATTCAATACTCTTTTTCAGCACCAGAGCTCAAAGCCATCAATTCTCTATCATCTCTAGTCATTGCCCAGCTTTCTGATGCATAGCAAGTAATTGCAATGACTTATTTGTTTATAAATACCTTTTTTAAAAGACACAAATGATGACTTTACACATGGGTCTCACCGAATGGGCTTCATTAGATTCAGATTGAGTACATCTGTGGAAGAAATCATTGGGGAAGCTCAGGATTGGCAGTCAAAACTAGGTTAGGGACAGACTCTGTGTCAGACCATCAATTATTCATGTGCAAGTTCAAATTGAGGCCAAATAAAATGAAACCAAGTCCACAAGAATCGAGATATGATCTTGAATCTATTCCATCTGAATTTCAAGATGATCTTAGCAATAGGTTTGAGGCATTGAACACTAATGATTGAAGACTGGATGAATTATCATCTATATCAACTATATCAACATTATAGTTCATGAAGAAAGCAAACGGTCATTACAAAAACAGACGAGAAAGAAAAAACTGAAATAATAACAGAAGAGACTAAAACAAATGTGCTAGGGTGTTGAGAAGCCAAAACAGAAACATGCCAAAGTAAAAGATCAGAACAGATGATTTCAAAGGGCAGCTCAAGAGGACAAAGCAAAGTATTATAATAGAATGTGCAGAGAGCTGATATTGGAGAATAAAAAGGGAAGAACTCACTCTGCTTTTCTCAAGTTAACTGAAAAAACAAATTTAAACCTTGTGTCGCAATATTGAAAGATGTTATAGGAAATACGTAATCACTCTCTAGTACACTCAAAACACTGCGTAACAGGATTAAAAAACAAACAAAAATCCAGAGACTCACTCATTGCCATGGAGTTGGAACCAACTTATAAAGTCAACTTTCATTCTGCCTATTTTTAAACTGACATCTTTGCTCTTTATCACTTTAAAGAAGTTCTTGATGCCCCGTGTAGCATCTCTTTTCATTTCTTGACTGTCATTTTCATGTTAGTGAACTGTGGATTCCAATGAAATGAAGTAATCGGCAACTTCAGTGTTTTCCCATCTGTCATGATACTTTATATTTGTCCACCTTTAAAGACTCATTTTCTCTTTTGGCTTGTTTCTTTTTTCTTTTTTTATTCTTTGTTGCACATTTTCCCCATAATGCACCCCTTGTTCCAGATTGTATTCCTTCCAAACAGTTCTTCTCCTCCTTTGTTCTACTTTCAGAATTAATTATCTATCCACTCTTTCCCCATTCCCTCCTCAACTCTGCCATGTCTGTCCTATTTTATAACAGCAGTGTTATGCAGTATTTGTCCTTTTATAACTAAGATATTTCACTGAGCATAATGTCCTCAAGACTCCCCCATGTAGTATAATGTTTTATTATTTCCTTGTTTTTCCAATGTTGTAGAGTATTCCGTTGTGTGAATGTACTATAGTTTGTTCATTCATTTGCTGATAGAAATTTGGGTTGCTTCCTTGTCTTTGCTATTGTGAGTAACGCAGCAATGAAATTGGATGTGCATACATCTGTTTCAGTTGTGGCTCTGGTTCATTGAGGTTATATTCCCAGTAATGGAATTGCTGGGTCAAATGGTATTTCTATTTCCATCTTTTTGAGAAAGTGCAAGGCTGCCTTTGATAGTAATTCTACCATTTTACACTCCCACCAGCAGTGAATATGATTCCAATCTCTCCACAACCTCACCAGCATTTCTTGTTTGCTGCCCTGTTGGACTTCGCTATTGTTGCTGGGGTAAGATGATATCTCATAGTTGTTTTGATTAGCATCTCTCTGATAGCTAGGGATTTTGAACATTTCCTCGTGTGTTTGTTTGCTATCTGAATGTCTTCTTTGGTGACGTGTCTATTCATTTACATACTGTATGTAGTTCAATTTCCTTTCAATCATGATGACACTTTCTTCTACCTATAGTGCAGTTTCTTCAATTATTTGCTCACTATTGAATAAAAAACAAATTCAAACTCATTGCATTGGAATTAGAACTTATTAACTGTTGACTCTCGATGGGTTTTGAAATTCCAAGGAAAGAGATTGCCATCTTTCTCCCAATTACTATAGTAAAGTGACCTTCAAGTGAACAGCACAATGACCTACACTCATCAGAGCTATCAGTGCTCCCTAAAGATTGAGCGTGGTTGTTGTTATGTGTCATCAAGTCAGAACTGACTCACAGCTGACTCTGTAAGCAGGTTTTCAGAGACAGTAAATAGCATGTGAGGAAATTATCTTCTCTTTCTCCTGCAGAACGGCTGGTTGATTTGAACCATGTACCTTTAGGTATCTGTGACACTTATGTGTCAAATGGGTTAATGGCTGGTTACCCAATGAGAACAGAGAGCAGGGTGGAGCTCCCCAATTAAAACAAGCTTGGAAGGAGGAGTGGCATCCACATCCATAATAGCTGGCCTCCAGAAACCCTTCGAACCTGGAGAGAGGATGAGAGACACCCAAGCATTGAGGACTCTT